GGTTGTATTTGTATCTTGTGCTTAAATGCTTTTTTGGAAATTTAATTAGATTTGCAATTAAATACATTTTTGACGAAGTATTTCGTAATTGTATTTCGATACATATTTGCATGTATTTTGCCCATCCCTGCTTGGCAACAAGTATTGCTTTTAAGAAGAATCATCGCATCATCCCTTCGCAAAAAATAAAAAAATAAAACAATTAGTAAATAATATTAATTTATATTTAAGGCAGATGTCCAGTCACTCGTTATATTTGTTTCTCTTGAAATAAGTCAAATCATATAGAACACGTGTTTTCCTTCTATTCGAGAACTAACATTAATAGACAAGCAATAGTGAAATAAGACATATGCGTTGTTGCGCAACAGTTGGTAAGCCATCATCTCAGCCATATTTTTAAAGGCCGATTAATTTGTTACGGGACTGCCACGATAAGAGTACAGAAATGTCTGACCCCAAAAATGTTGCAATATTTGGATAGAAAAAAGGCACTCATCTAGTAGACTAATAGCCCTGTCACGCGGTAAAATGTAATTTCATTTCCATAGAATGACAGGATCAGATAGGTTGATAAGCGCAGGCCAATTCTGGCGCAGTTTGTTGCACGCGCAAACTCGCAAATATGATGGTTAGCTCACTAGCTTTAATATCCTTTAATAAAAATTACATGAGATTTTGCCGTGTGGGAGAAGTCTTACAGAGATTCAGCTCCCTAAACAAAAAAAAAAAAAAAAAGAGCAACGCTGTGACCTTATCCGAACCCTATACAACACACTATCCTCATGCTTACTAATGCACAACCCAACGTGCAATTCTGATTTGTATTATTGTTACAATTATTATTAAGACATTTCTCCAAATTTAGTCTGGCCACCTCGACCGCTATCGTCGTGGGAGACATCTGTGAAATGCTAATGGCGGCTTTCTGTATGGTGACTAAGTAATTGAAGGCATTCACTGAAGCAGCCAGCACAAGATCTGCACATTCGTAGAATACGCAGGTTTGCCTTGGCTGCCTCAGCAGTACTAACGTTTTTAGTCGTTTGCACAATACGGCACACAAATTGGATACCAACGATTATGCCAACGTTCATTTTGGACACGTGTCAAATCTATCAGTTGGCACACACTCACCCACGCACCAAGTACCTGGATGCGATACATTTTATCGAGGTCCTTACTCAGGTAATTCATTCGTACACACCAATAGTTTCATTGTCACCATCGAAAAGAAAGGACTTTGGAAGGGACGTAACGGCGAAATACACATTACTGTCTACCGTGGACATGCGCGCAATAAAATTCTACGTTCTTACAGTTACAGCCATTGGCGGTAAGAATGTAGCTAGACAAAGTGTTTTGCAAACTTCTGCTTCACAAACGTTCACAGCTTAACAGACGCTAACGTTCTTTCATGGATTCAGGCTTTTCTATCCCATCGGTCCCAATTTGTTACTGTTAATAATAGTAAGTCGTCTTCTGTCCTTGTTGCTTCCAGTGTTTCCCAAGGATCTGTTTTGGACCCGTTGCTTTCTTTAACCTTTATTAACAACCTTCCAACAAATATCTCCTTATATATATGTCTGTTCGTTGACGATTATTGTGTTATTTACCGCGAGACGCAAGATGATCATGATAGAGATATAAACATGTGTGTGTCTGGCCAGTCTCACGACTGTCATCATTGCCTCCTCAATCAAGCCCACCTAGTTGGTATCTTTGTACGAATATCTCGGAGTGCACATGCATAACTTCTAACCTTTCATGAAAAACCCATATTCGGTACATATAACCGCAACGCTAATCGCTATTTAGGTTCAACCAAACGTAAATTTTCTTTTGCACCTGTTTCACTCAGGGAAATCATTTATAAAACCCTAATTCGTCGAAAGTTAGAATATGCATCTTCTGCCTGGGATCCCGGACAAGCCACTCTTAATCTTGCATTGGAAGCCATCCGAAACCTATCCTACTCGTTTTATTCTCACCAACTATCCGGGGCTGATTTATGGGCCAGTCTTGCAAAGGGGGGAGGGGGGGGGGGGGGAGGCATTCAGTTGGCGTAGGAGAGTCTGCTGAGATATGACGTTACGGCCGAAACGTTGCCCAAACTGTTTTTTTTTTTTTCCTTTGACCCATGATTTTTGATTTTATAAAGCTAAACTTCTCGCTAGTATATATATATTTTTTTATAAAAAGGTTGACCTTGAAAACTTACAAGAGGGGGGGGGGGGGCGGCCGCGCCCCCCCCCCTCCCCCTAAATATGCTTTTGGAACTACCACTGCACTGCAAGCGTCACCAGCATGAAAAGTACCCTGTTAATGCCCGTTTCGTCCTTCCGCCGAAAAGTCGCTCGCCTTTCTTTATTTCATAAAATTTAGTTTCATAATTCTATTCCACGCAACCAAACGCCGCCCCCCCACCCCCCTTTCCTCCTCCCCCGATCATGTTTCTTCACGTTTCGATCATCAGCACAAGGTTGACCTCCCAAGTTCGATGACGACAACGTTTTACTCATATTTCGTCCCCCATACATCCCATGACTGGAACTACTTTCCAGGTACAATTATCACCATCACGGACTCCGAGCTTTATTGAACTGACATCTTGATTGAGCCTAACCTGTAATTTGAATTTTGTTATTGTAATTTTTTTTTCTGCTCTTACTTTTTGCAATGCATTCTGGTCCTGAAGATACAATAAAAGATATGAAAAATAGCTTGCGAAAAGCTAGACTGATATTTCAGTAAATAGATGGCACTGAATTTCGGAAACTGTTTATTGCCTTTGTGTTTTCCAAGTATCTTTGTATGAATGATACACCTAATCACACATTTAAAGCACCAGGCAGGACGCCATGCTTGCTCCAAACGTTGAAGTACATAAACTGCAGGCTTTCATTGAGACTCAGCGTTACGGCTCTACTTAGCCTCTAATCGGAGCTTTCGGGATTCTTTGAACACTATCACAGAGACACTCTCGTAAAGCATCACGCCAGAATAAAAAAATTTCGATCACGATATGATTATTTCTTCTACCCTTATAGAAATGCCCTTGCTTTAATAAAGGAATACTGCAACAAAATTCTAGCGCCTATATAATTGTCTGAATGTCAACCACGTTCTGGCCACACCACAAAAACACCAATTTTTTGCTAAAAAAAAAAAGACAGTATTTAAGATGAATAACCCGACTGTCGTTACGTCACTCTGGCCTTAAAAGCAGCGCCGCTCTGCGGAAGTACGGCGGCAAGCTGCGAGTGCGCGAGCCCTGTCGAACCGGATTTCTCTTCTTTCTCGGTCTATTCAACTCCTGCGGGGAGCGGGGAGGGGAAAGTAAAAAAAGGCAGGTTGTTACATGTTGACAACGCCGAGTGGCGAAGCTCATAACCACGCCAGCCCCCAAGCAGCATTATTTGTCCGTGCTGGGTCAGTTGACGTCACGTTTCCCGGGATGCATCGCGCTCTCCGATGTCTGATCTTCGAGCGCTCGCTGGAATCGGTCCTTTGGAACAAAAAATATAGCCATCCAGCCATCCGTTCAAAATAGAAGCGTGTGATTGTCATTAGTAGAAAGGGTTGATCATGTTTACCTTATTTCTTAACGTGACAGGTATATTTCCAGTTTCGATTTAGCATCCTTTTAAATGAAAAGAAGAGCTTGGCATGATTTGCGTGATTTTAGATAATCTTTCACTATCATCATATTTAATATGCTTGTGCGATGTTAGGGCGTAAGACACAAACAGTATGACTGTCTCGCGCTCCTTCCGCAAACCCCTTCAGCCTTTCCACATAGAGCGAACGCCGGAGAGGAAGCAAAGCTGGGCAAGGAGGGACTCGCCTCCTCTCCGGCGTTCGCTCTGCTATGTGGAAAGGGAGGGAGGGGCTTGTCCTGCTTTTCTTAACCTGCAATTGTTGTTTATTTTGTTTTTTAGGTGCTGTTGGTTTGTTTGGGTTTTTCCCCACCTTTGCCAGTTTCGATCTGGGTGAGCACTGTAACTGCGTGCGGATGTGTATCACTTCTGCGGCATGCACGTTAAAGATCCCCAAGATAGCAGTTGTCCTGCACTGGCTATATTGCTCATCTACAGCTGAGAGACAAGTCGCCCGTTGAGGGAGACTAACATTAAACCGTATAAACACACACAAAAAAAAACAATAAAACACGAACACAATTGTGCTTGGCGCAGGTGACAATCTCGTTGCCATGTTATTGGTAATTTTTATAACGTGTTTTCGAACCTACCTTCACGGCTTTGTGTGTAAACCATCACGCGCTGTGAATATATCATTCACTCGAGAGGGCTGGTGAGCGAACCTGCCCCCACAGCTTTCTGTTCCTGCCGCTAGGTGCCGTCGTTTTAAGTTTCTGTGACATTTTAAAAGACGCAAGGTTGCGCGTGCACAGCTTTGATCAGCGCTCAAAAGGCTCGAGCGTACAGGAGCACATAGCTGTGACACTTCGAAAGGTTTGCTCTTTGAAGTAAAAAAGAAAAGTGCGTATCGGTAAAGATGAGTAGAAAACAAAAAGAACGGAGAAGGTAAATGGGGCGAAAATTTTTTACAAAATAAAATATCAAACGCAAAATAAAGATTAACGAACTTGTGTCACTATTAAATTTCAGTTGCTGTCAATACGCCTCAGATGGCGACGTTTCGCAAGGTTTCCATCAAACAATCTCATTACCGGATCTCCTTTTCGCTCGTCTAAAACAAAATAAAAAAAACGATTACGGACTGTTGTCACCGTGACGCAGAAGGCAGCGCTCGCGGACCACAAGAGGACGACCACAGCCTCTTGGACTCACGTGAGTCGAAAAAGAGTCAAGAAAACGAGAAGCCGGCGAAGGTCCCAGCGGGTAACCCCGCTGGGGTCTCAGGCAAAAGAAAAAAGCGCGCCACCGTACGTGACCCAGATCGCGGGAGCAAGAGGACGTGCCCTCTCCCGGAGGCGTACCTCTCCTCCGGAGCCGGGGAGCTTCTTCAGCAGACTCCGTCCTCCGGCCAGGCGCATTACCATACAGAGAGTGAAAGCCGCTACTCGCACCACAACGGCTCCAGACATGCTGTACGTCGCTCTCGTGCTCCTCGGGCTCCTCGGTCTCGGTGAGTCGGAGGCTCCTTTGGCTCCAGAGATGCGGTACATACCGGGAACATGGCGGTGTCTTTTCGTGTCTCCTGGACGTATAAGGTTCACCTACCAAACCGGCAGTTTTTATTTTATTTTATTTATTTATCTATTTTACGGTGGCGAGCCGGCAGAACGCGTTACGATCGGTGACCACCTTAAAATGTCGGCTTCATTGGTGAAGGTTGTAAGTACTGTATCCATCGGGTTTCATTTCTAGTGTTACTTATTAAACGAGTTTGTGTCGTTAGCTTTCAGCCATAAAATTGTGTTTTCGAAGAGTCTCATAGAAGTCTACGCCGGTGGAGGGTTCGTGAAGTAATAGTATAGAGTCATCAGGTTTTGGGCGTGCTGTTTCTGTGATTCGAACTCGTAACCCAGAATTGCTTCGATTGTGCCAGCACAGAACCCAGATCTGTGCGGATGATTGAAACCTATAGGGTCGGAGACGGGTTGAGAACTAAGTAGATGCTTTGCCTGGAGCGCGAGCTTTCTTCCATTGATACCGCTTCCTCGCACACTCGGCCGAAGCACGGCGGAAGGCAAGGAGCACCTGTCACTGTGTACTTTTTTGGATGGTTCGGAGCCAGGACTGTGACGCTTCGAGTGGAACTTCTGCAAAAAGATTTTGTGCGATTCTACCCTGCGTGTGCACGTGCAGTAAATACATTTTTAAAGTGTGATTAAAAAATATCCAATATTTGCACGATTTCCTCGTTTACAAAATTTAATCCGATGAGAGACAAAGTGACAATCGAAAGATCGTTTCCACTTGTCTAAGAGTTACGGAATTTCTCAGCGCAGTTCTGAAGAGCGCTTCACCGCGCGAATGATGGAAGCCTGGATAACCAACCGAAAGCTTTCGAACATCTAAATCCGAATCCTTTGGTTAGGCGCGCGATTATTGCGCTTGACATTGTTTCCTGAGTTCAGAAATTTGGAAAGAAATAGCCGACACCATCAGCGCATAGTGCTCGCATAGTGCCTCTTGAATGTGTTTCTTCTATTTTGCTGAGCATAACATTGCTTATACAATACCTTAAACTTATCACACGGTGATACACCGCGTTTGAACTATAAATGCATACAGTTGAACTCAAGGAGTGCATGCATTTGGAGAGCATGTTTGCAAATAATGAATCAGGTAAACGTCTGACACCATTCGCCACCCGCTAGTGCTTTGAACAGAGTATACTAAAATGCATTGGTAAGTAGTATGCGACTTTAATATTTTAACGTGCTTATATTTACACGATGTATCTTATGTATGCGAATGATGTCGAAAGTGGAAGATCTGCGGATATAGGTTCGTATCAATGCGTATGCATGATTTAGACTTATCATGTCACCTCCATGGGGCGAATAGGCCGCGAGCAAGCGACGAATTTCGCCCGCAGAGGCGCTCGTTGCGTGCGCGGCGTCGAAAGAGGGGAGGTTGACGCTGCGCGCAAAGTACGAACCGATGGGTGAAGTTCGACCGCTGTGCGCCGCATATTCGCTCCTCAGTGCTGCCGTAAGTCGACGAGCGCGCTGCCTTCTCGAGCAGTCAGCAAAAAACGCTGTAGAAACCCACGCTAGCTTTTCTTTTTTTTTTTTTTTTTTTTATAACGGGCATGATCTGGACAATTATATTATGCGCAGTGACACTATAAACGTAAGACTGCCACAGGACCGCAAAATTACTGGGTGATTCAGCAACTCGATACGCGACCAGTCGTTGGAACAACTGGACTTGTTGCTTGCAAAGATGCCAGGAGAGAAGGAAAGCGACCTCGGAGTTAGAGAGGTAGCTGGCATTGTACGAGCATAAGCGAAAACAAAAAGGCGATTGTGTGGTGGATGTTGGTGTATTTTTGGGGTAGTGTACAACTAACAGGCGTAGGAGTGACGCTCTGAGGGATTACGCAAAATGAGAATGCTGTGTCTGTATTATAGGCTGTTGCGGCATAAGGTTCCGCCCCCGAATACAAGGAAATAAATAGTCACTAAGCCTCTTCATATAAACATATAATTTCTATAACGTCACAGAGATATAGAAAAAAAAAAGCTCTGATAGCGCCAAATAAAAAAAAGCGCCACCTAAAAAAAAAGTAGCACCGTTTAACGCCTAATACATCCTCGTGCATTTGGAATTAGACAAAGCATTTTCTTAAAGGTGGAACATTTTTTGCAGTCTTTTTATGTTGCTGCGGACAATAGTTCAACTCAGCAGGATAGCAATTCACTAATGCTAAGTCGCTAATTTGGAGCGGTCGTATTACACGCTTGTGTAAACTGCAGGCCTTACAGTGTAGACTCTATGAAAATACAAATCATTATGAAATGTGTTGCGTCGTAATTACTTTCAAGTCCAAGTTTGTTAAAATCTTACACATCGGATAACTGAAGGCCTAGAAACAAAAAAAAGAAAAAAAAAAAAACATTAGGTTGTTTGGTTCCTTGAAGTAGATGATGTGATATCGGTTTGAACGGAGTTTGCGCCTGGATGCTATGCCCGTTGCAAAATGACTTCAGTGAAGAAAGGATAAACACACGGGTCAGTTGGCAGGCATCTTCTCGAATACAAGGTAACATGCTTGCTACAAGGTGTGGAGTCGGTTTTCTTCTTATTACTTATATTGCAAACAAGTACAATACTCTATGAATGTATAAACATATATATGCATCGAAACTTTGTGCATTTAAACGAAAACAACAAAAATAATTAATCGGGCCCTTTGAAGTGACGTCATGTTTGCATAAGGTCGACAAGCGCATTTTCTATGCCCTTTCCGTATTTTTAAACCGCTGTGATTTGTCGCAATAGTTAACCTCAGAGTGCAAGCGCCAGCACAATTATCCTCTTCAGGGAAGAAAAAAAAAATGGATATAGCAAGGTTGTTCTGAACTTTCGTTACGGTACTTTTGAACGATCGATTAAACGGCATATTATGTAAATATTGATTTTTTTTTCTTTTGTTTTTTTAGAAAAGAGGTCTTTATTATCAGTGCCGCCAATACATGACATCCCTCAGATGTAATCGCGATAGAAAAATGTTGTAATTTTATTAATACATTTGGGGCAACACGCTGGTAATTTTTATAATGCTGCATTATACGTACATTTTCGAAACATAAGAAAGAAAATAACAAACAAGACGCCACTTTGGCTTCTCAAGGTTATACTATCTTTTTTGTCTTATTCTACTAAATAATTTCAAAACCCAATAGTTCGGGATGATTTGTCAATACTCATCTTGCCGTTAGCTCTTCAATAATGTTTTAAGGTTAATCCGGTAGCTGTTTTTTCTTCCTTATAAATTGTCTGATATACAGATTTTTATGACTCAAGCACGGTTAACCAAAGAAATACTTTTTTTTTATCTTTTTTTTGGTTCGGGCTTGAAAGCGATCCATCTTTCCTTCAAGAAGACGAGCCGCTGATCCCTTCCCAAATCGTCTCCGTGACCTTCCTTCGAGACGGGAACGAACAATAAGTCCGTGACGCGGATGCTTCGAGCGTCAGGCATGCAGCCGAGGAGAGGCACGGGGTTAACGAGAGCAAAGAGAGGAAAGGGAAGCGCGTGTCTCCAACGGCCATAACGTGCGCGGTGCCCTGTCGCGCCGACACGCCCGAGCACGGAGAGAAGATTCGCCTTGTCTAATTTGTACACCGTCTCCGGTTCCTTGGAGAAAGTGCCGGCATTTGGGTCACCTCCTGGGAAGACTTCCTGAAGACCCCACAACGATTTCTTCACCTCCCCCCTTCTCCGCAGCACGACTCTCTATTTCGGAGGCCGTATGCTGATCCTCCCTCTCGCGCTCCGAGTTACCATGGGGCATCCAGTTTATGCGAGAGTGCCGCAATCGTGTAAATTTACATTCGACGGGAATGAACTGCCGTACTGTCTTGTTTGTGTGACTCTGACCCGACCCCAGTTGATCCGTGAAATGGGGAGCTGTTTGTTGACACCTCTCGCATCGTCCGGTAAAGCTTCGCTGCGTGTTATGTGCGAGGCAATAATTTTGAGATGCACAAAACGACTAAAAACTTCAGTACATCCTTCACAAAGGTAATAAAGAGATAACGGCGGGCCCTCTTCACAGTGCACCTGTATGAATATAGTTGACGAAATGATTTTGTTAACCTCCGAGTTTTGATTCTTGTCCGCGCACTGAAGCGAGAACGACGATGAGTGATAGAGATGATGGAAAGACAGAGATTTGGAGGGCGAGGATAATTCATTTTCTGCAGAGGAGATGCCTTAACCCGAAAACATCATAGGTTAGCAATAACAAATCAATCATTATTAAATTAAATAAAGGATTCGATAACTTTTTGTTCACACGTGAATAACTATAAGCACAGAGCCTACTCCGACAAAGCGTTGGATTTATATAAGGCACGCCCACAATTAACTTCTTCACTTCCAAAGTGTCTCGCACTCAGTTTGCGGCGATATATTTTTCAGCCCAGATGTACAGCGCTGGCAGGCATTGGGAATTGATAATAACTCTCATAATTCTTTATAAATATTTTTTTTTCAGGGAAATTTCCGATTTTGTTGAACGTAGACAGAACGCATGGAACAAGGCGAAGAGTCAGTGTGGTACGTAAATGCCCGAAATGCAGAAGCTGTGCTCCAATTACAGTCTCTGACAGCTCTGGAGAAGCGCATGGACGTGGCTTGCTTACGTTCACGCTTTTTGCTTCGTGCTTTCTTTGGCGTTCTTCTCGAGTAATGCCGCAATTTGATCGGTTCTGGAACGATAATAGTGAGTTTTAGAATAGCGTACAAAAAAATCTTTGCGTATGCAAAGAAATAGCGTCGTCGCTACTGCGCATCTGTGGAGCCCAAACTCCGACGCGCATGCGCAGTGTGGAGCACCCGACGCACACACATAGTGCTTGCGTTTGACTAAAACTCTCGAACAAGACGCTCTAGACTGGTCACGCGCCCAGCGTTTTTTAGACACTCAGTCTACCAAGAACACGAAA